TAAACCAACAAATTCCCTCCAAACACTATTATGCAGACCAATGGATGCAACAACCAAAGAAGACAAACCAAATATCATTTACAAAATCGACTGCAATAACTGTAGTCAACACTACATTGGACAAAGTGATCACCCTCTTCACCTTCATCATCTACATGAACACCAATTGGCTATTGAACGTCACCACATCTCATCACTCATTTCAATGCACATGGATAATTGTGGACAAGAATTCAGTTTTGACAATGTGAAAATCTTGGAGGGAGAGAGGAAACACAAAGAATATCAGAGAATTCCTAGAAGCTTGACATTCAGATAAGTCAGTCAACAATCGATAGATGCATAGACATAGACCGGATCTATCAACCAAAATGAAAAACAGAAATGACAAATGAGAGAAAGGTGAGAATTCAAGTAGAGGAACAGTTAACAGGAGAATCTATACAGTCAGTGAATGAGACAACAATCCAAGGAAGGAAGTAATCACAAAGTAGTTGGTCAGGTGAAGCAGTTAAATCAGTGACGGAGAGATGTTGACAGTTCACTTCATAGAGAATTTAGTGTTGATGATGTTGTCAAGGAAGAGGATGACAGTTCCTCGATTAAACAAGCCATCTCGGATAACGCAATACAACGAAGACCATCCACCTGAGCTATGTATTGTGTTGATAATTTCAACAGAGAATTTCGACGAACACAAATCTAGCTGTTTTGAAATGAAAAGATCATGATGAATTTGGACATTTTATACAGAATACTTTCTTATGACTAATAATTCAAATAGCATAATAAATCACTTTCAGAAAGTTGAGTGCACTACTGCATCCAAGAATGATAAATAAAGAGTCAGCTACAAAGTTTCGAATAGAAAACATGTTGTCAACTAAATGCTATCAATTACGTCTGGACCTTCTTTTAGCAAGCATCTTGTTATCCCTACTGCTTCACTACTACGGAGTACCGCAAACCTTTATCAGCCTCATTCAACAACTATATGAAGATGCCACATGCCAAGTAATTCACAATGGGAAGCTCAGTGGTGCCTTTCGGGTGAAGTGAAGACAGGAGTGAAACAAGGTTTCCTACTATCACCCATGATATTCCTGATTGTGGTGGACTGGATCATGCAGCAAACAGTGGGGAATGAGAAGAGTGGGATACGCTGTCTGGACTGTGGAAAAGAACCTAGAAGACTTGGATTTCGCCGATGACTTGTGCCTAATGTCACATAAACTTGAAGATCTGCAGGCGAAAACTAACAAGTTGATAGAAGAGGCAGCTAAGACGGGACTTCAGGTGAATATAGAGAAGACAGAGGTGATGAAGATACCGCACCACCACCATCAACAACAAACTCCAGTCACCATCAACGGGAGAAACTTAAAGGAAGTAACCTCCTTCACTTATCTAGGAAGCACTGTTTCAACTACAGGCTGGACGGACGAGGACGTCAAAGTCAGAATCGGAAAAGCAAGACAGGTGTTCATTAGCCTGAAACCGGTGTGGAGATCTTCTGCACTCAGCATTCGGAACAAGATACAGATTTTCAACACCAACGTCAAGTCAGTGCTTCTGTATGGTTGAGAGACTTGGCGCGTCACGAAAGGGATTTCCAACAAACTACAGACATTCATCAACAACTGCTTACGCTCGCTACTGAAGATCAGATGGCCAGAAATAATAAGCAACAAGGAGCTCTTGGAACAAACCAACGAAGCAAGAACCTATGGCTGAACAAATATGCCCTGGAAGGAAGTGGAGGTGGATTGGGCATGCACTGAGAAGGCCGACTGAGGACATCACGCATCAGGCCTTCGAGTGGAATCCCCATGGGAAGCGATGAGTTGGACGTCCGAGGGTGACATGGAGGAGGTCGTGCGAGGAGGAAATGAGAGCTTGTGGGCTGTCGTGGAACCAGGTTCAAAAGATCTCAGAGAACAGAGGTCACTGGAGACGTGCTACTGAAGCCCTATGTTCCACTAGGAACCCAAGGGACTAATAATAATAATAAAATTGTTATCCCTATAAATAACTGAAGGTATAATATGTTTTAGAATCAGAATCGGGAATTTGTTGTTAAAATAATGAACTTGGTTTTGAACATCACATTAAGTAGCTGTTTATTTGTTGAATGTATTCATCTCATTTAAAACTCAAATAAACCAATGTCAGCCATCAACCACTTAAAAACTGGTTGATATACCATTGATAACTGGCCATTAAAACATCAGTAAATGTGACCATGTCTCACCACCAACTACTGTGAACCGAATCATCTTACCATTAACATGGGAGACCACGAAAGTAAGCTTTGATTTCATAACTCATGAATATCTGTCATTGATTGAACCTCATTGGTTGGCCACTGTTGGCATATGGGAACCTGTCTGGATGCCTGAATATTGCCGGCATTTTCAGTCGTGATATTATTGATATATAGTGGCTGGCAGCAAAATCCAGTACACGCGATTCCTTATATATGGAACTCGTGGTAACGATTATTGCAGAAAGATGATAACAGACAGATTATACAAGATAGCAAACACTAAAGCTGACCTCTTACAACCATTCAATATGAGACGGTATCTGGCATACGATATATTGGCACCGTAGCGAACATCAAATGATATATAAGTGTAAAACTTGGCCACTGTGGTAGAATATAATTCCACATCACATTTGTTTGTTTGATTTGTACAACACAGTGATACAGTATTGCTTATTTGATGATGTTTCGAGCATAAATTGTCATTGCTCATAATCATATCAATGATTTCTATGGTCCTATGACCTCATATTCTTTGCTGTTTATTCGCCGCAAAATTTACCATATTCCTGGTATAGGTGTTGCATCATTTCTGTTACATGTGTTGCCTGGGTGTTGATTCAATGAACAAGGATTCATTAATCGATCTCTCTCAATTGCCACCTAATTATATTCTACTTGAGTACAGTGGTTTTATCCCACCCATCCTATTGTGTTGTTGTGTGTTAAAACATGCATTGCAATAGCCGAGTGTTTTCCTATATTATTGATCTCACTGCAGTCTGTCACTATCTATTTAGCTAAATTCCTATACTCCGCTATTCTAACTGACCTCAACCTGCTACCTTTACCTATGTACTCGACCTCACAGTCATTACATGGAATTTGATAAATCAGATTATTTCGCTTAGTTGCATCTATCGGACGCTTAAACCTATGAAGCTTGTCTCTGAGTGAGTTTATAGCTTTAAATGAGAAACCTACGTAAAGTTTCTGGTGTTCCTTCCCTACATGTTAACACAATAGTTTTTGAACTCATCTCTACTCATGTTGTCGCTATTATTCGTATTCGTATTATTGTTATTATTTTGTTTCTTATGTTTTCCTACAAAGTTCTTAGTAAACTGTAGAGGATAATTATTATTAATTATATATATATATATATATATATATATATATATATATATATATATATATATATATATATATATATTATATGTTTCAATTCCTTGTTTAACTCCTTACAATGACTGGTGAGTTTTTAGCTCTATCATTTAGACATTTGATTAAACCTGCCTTAACTGACATTCAATGAGATGATTTGAAGTCGAGATACCTGTTAGAATGTATCGGTTTTACTATAGACAGTAGTATCCGGACCATCATCTAACCTTCGTTTTATTCTGCAATTCAACGAAGGTGATTCTCCTTGTTGATTTTCCACCTTGCATGTGAATTGGATTGCGTCCACTACTGACTAGCCACATAACATCATTCCGCATTATTCATCTATGTAGAAACGACTGTCTAATTTGTCCATCTCACGATCACCCCCTACTCCATTTCAATTTATTCTTACGTGTGATCACCTAGGTTCTATGGTTCTGTACACTCATCAGCATAGAATGTTTGCAAATTTAGGGGAATTCACTTTCCCTGTGAGATTTTATGTCTAAATAAAGCCAGAGACTGGACTGTTAAGCTCCCCAGCTCATAAGTTTCAACGCAGGGAATCCTAATGTATAAAATGATGACACATCGCACCGTACTATCACATCAATAAGCTTAGTGAAGAAAATGCTAATTAGATGGATAAACTTCGATCAGTGCTGAACAACCACATCGGTCAGTAGTCAGCTCTATTTTCATGGTTTAACAGTGTGCACTACCAGGATTCCTTACATTCCCTTTTCCATTTGTGCGTGCATCGTTTCCCCTGAATTACCAACCACTTGATTACCGTGATTAGAACCAGTTTCATACACCCAGTTTTCTCAGAAAACACAAAAACCCAGATTCGACTATATACTGATTACCTGTCCCATCATGTGAACCAGCTAACACAGTCACAGGTTGATATTCATACGACTACTGGTTGAAATCCTGCTACAACCCAAACTTTTGTCCAACTTCACTCATCATCATCCTACACCATTACCAGTTTCAAGGCTTGGAAAGTTTCACAAATGCCAATCAACAACTAGATTAGTCTTGTGAAAAGAATCTAGAATGTCGTCAATACCAAACAAACCCATGACACTAAGTTTTCAACTGCGAACACAATGGAGATGAATTGAAAGACTCTTAGTCAGTAAACCAGTGAACTTCAAAATGGCTTAAGCAGGAATTGAGACTGGAAATAGCCTGAAATTATACTGTTTAAAGCTGCTCATTACTCTGTCTACATTCTGCTGACACTTTGATAAATTTTACTTCAAGTAAATGACTCTAGAGCTTATCAGTTCAGTGAGTAAATGAAAGATATTTTACTGAAATATAAGAAGTTTATTTGCATTTATCAAGCTAAGCAGCATTTAAAAAATCACTACCAATACAATACAACTTTCCTTTTTTAGAATAGCCTGATTTATCCGTCAGTGGATGTTCAGTTTTTGTAAATTTTGCAACCAAGATTGCAGTACAATAATCAGCTAAAATTCCACGGCAGGCAAAACGCAGAAAGTAAGGCAAATGTGACAGCTGTTTGATCTTGTAGTCAGCATCTACAGCGTTATTAACACTGTTGTATAGTTTGATTAGAATGAGGCATTGGTTGAAGAGTGATTTGTATTGGACGGAATTCACGTATGACTGGGACAACAACATCCTGTGAATATGTAGCCCATGAACTAATTATTGGATATACAAAGCGTTCCCAGTGTGCACTACATATGTAACTGATATCACAGACATAATTTATAATAATATGCAAAAGGAAACGTAAGAATTGTAGAAATGGCTTGAAAATAGTCAATGTGATTATACGCAAGAATTCGATGAGAAACAAGGTGATAGTAGTAAACACAATCCCAATGGCTAGACAGGCTTCACGTAGGCCACGATGCACGCAATTGTGAGCACTGAGATTGGGAAAGAAGTGAAGCAAAAGTGAGAATAAATAAATAATAATTGTACGTAATACGCAGAGAAAATTTATACTAGGTGATGATTTAAGGCGAAATGAAAACCCGAACGACGGCCGGGTTCGAACCAGAGACCACCGGGTTCTCCACCCGGTGCTCTACCAACTGAGCTACGAGGTCCGACTGCTGGTTAGATTTTTATTTGACGTCAACCAATCACCAAGGGTTTAGCCCGATTACAATGTCGGACCTCGTAGCTCAGTTGGTAGAGCATCGGGCAGGAAACCCAGTGGTCGCTGGTTGGAATCCGGCCGTGGTCCAAATTTTCATTTCACTTTCAGTCATCGCCCAGTATCAGTGCTAAATCATGGCTATCTCATATAGTCAAAATGATAAGAGACAATTTAAGTAATAGTAAGTATGAAACGATTATGATGTTAAGCAATGAACTGAGTTTGAATACTTGACCTACTGATAAGAAATCATGAATAACCTTCGTTTAGGGCTGCTTTAACATTTAAAATATTAAAAGAATTTATGCTGTTTCAGGCATCCAAATCTTCAGTACTCAACAGTGTGGTGACAATTGTTATTGGTAAACTATTTAGATGATAGTTGTCTTATTGTTTTACTAAACTGTGTAAATAATCTAGATTCTGGAGGGTAATCTAAACGGGACAAAATTCATTGGTTCTCATTAGAGATTATAATAAATCTCTCAACGTTACTATTGAGATTCTTTTCAACGAATTTATTATCAAGCTGTACGTTTATATGTTCATGATATTTAAAGACTGTAATCCATGTAGAAGATTCAACCTAAATAATGGGGAGTTGAAATAACTTAAAGGTTGAATAATAACAAAAAAGGTTACGTAATATTTTTAAATCTTTTACAAGAACATATTTCTGTTTGATTTTATAAGGATGAGAGGAAATTGATCAGAAGTTCAGTGCTTGAACATTTAATACATACCAACCATTCAACCGACCCATACAATGATTTTAAGTTTGTCTATCGAATTCTCTCGAACGTTTCTTTCATCTTCAGTTTTTAAAAGCAGCAGAGGCCTTGGTTGGCTATCCATGAACTGAAGCCTGACTCTTGTGTGCAAAAGAAACATGTACAGTCTTCATCTCTACCTTAGTCTTAGTGTGCTTCGTTCCTCTTTTTGTTTTTTCAACCTAGATTAATCTTTGTGCTGTTATCTAGTCATTATCATCTTATTTTTACATTTAATAGTTTCCGGTGTTACTTCGTTTAATCTTCCTATTAATTGCAACTTTTTACTGCTGAATAGTTCCATACTAGGAGGAAACAGCTGTCCAGTGCCCCCAGGTTTTCACTGTTTCTCCAACTGATGTCAATCTGTGGCGAATATTACCCCTAAATTAAAATTCCCATTCATCTCAAAAATACATTAGTGTATAATGCTCATTAGTGACATACTACTAGATGGATATCACGAAGTTCTAATTAGAAGCAGTGACCTATAGGGTCAACCAGCCGTAGGTGAAGCGGATGCTAACTGAAGACCTTGGGTCATAACCGCGATATGTAGTGAATTGACAGAAGTTGGGAACTGTAAACCAATGAACTTCGATTCAGTGGCTGAATGGTTAGGGCGTTTGGCGTGAAAACTGAAGGTCTTAAGTTCGATCCGTATCCGGGTCGTGGATGAGTACGACTGAGCAGTCTGACACTAAGATGAAACAGCTTTCCAGTGCTCCCAAGTTTTCAATGGTTCTTCAACTGGTCTCAGACCATGATGAATACTACCTCTGAAACATTTTCAACTTATTCCAATTAATTTGTCTTATTCATATTACCTAATCCTTTGATTGCTTATAAACTCTGTCGCATTTTCACCCCTTTTCAGTCTAAATCCACCTTATAAACGATTTAGAAATCCCACATAACTATTTTTGTCATCACCAACGAGTAACATTGTTATTATTATAACCACCATTATTGTTATTTCAACCCCCCATTATTTAAGTTAAATCTTCCTCACGGATTACCGTCTTTAAATATCATATATATACGAATGTACAACTTGAGAATAAATCCGTTGAAAAGAGTCCTCTTAGCTGAACATCTTGTTTTAAATGTCACAATAGGAACTATCAATGTATTACTGAGACTATTCAACAGTATATTTAGGGTTGAAGTGTATTTGGATATAGAACCTAAAAGAAACAGAGAACACTCGAAAACTGTTTCATCCTGGTTAATGAACAGATAGTGAACTGCTTCCTTACATTTATCAGCCTTTATAGAGAACAGAGCATAGTCGATATAGGCCGAAATAATGTCGTATCCCAGTTCCCATTTTGTTTTACATTCCTTTTAAGTTGTAGATTCTTAGACAAATCTATTTACGTAATGGTGAGTACTGTAAGACATTAATGAACATCTTGTTGTGAATATGTGCATAGTTTATACTAAGTTAATTTATACACATAATGTCTCACACTCCCAGAAGTCACTGGCATATTCTATTTCAGTTTTGTATGGAATACAAATGACTGTTCCATCTTTTCTGTACACAGGAACGTGGTTCCATTCTGAAGTTATTTTAGTTTCTATATTATTTATCTGTATCTGTAAATGGACCTCACATGTGAAAGATCGCAGTTGTCCACATTAGAAAAAGGAAATGTGGTGCCATGAAAGATTAATGAAAACACACACTCGGGTGAAACATTTCACTATGAATAATCCTCATTAATGCTGCTCCTAATAACACTAACACTATTTCGGCAAATTAACTTCATTATCCGATGAACTACTACATTATCCGCGGACTTAATAAAAAAAGATATATTGCTTGCAACCCTATTTTGATGTAACTTCTGAAGTTATTCTCATCTCTACCACTGCAAAATGTTGCAGTACCTTTTCATTCATAGTGATTTTTGATACAATCCTTGTGAATAGGGGGGGGGACCTGTCGTTCTTTTCATCAGAGGTTGACCAATATATTTGTTATTATCGTTTGAACTATACTGTTTGCTTATGTCTAATCATTGATTTGCTTTGCAGAAAAACGAAAAGAACTATGACAGCTAATCATATTGTTGGTAAAAATCAAGGGGATTGCTATATACCACTTATTTTGCCTAACTTTTGCCTGATATTTGCCTATAACCTTAAAATAACTTTATCATTGCTGTTTTCGCACCGTTGATAGTTTTCGTTTTCCCCACTGCCTCTGAATACTGAACCCTCATTAGCTGTTGTCTATTTTTCACCTATATGTGGATTTAGTGTTGTCAAGGTCATTCAGAAATGTATATATTCAGCATCGCTGTCAATTGTATTGACTGTTGTTGAGACAGTATAAGCTCTCTGTCAACTGTCTGTCTTCTCTTTATGTCTTTGTAGGCCGGTAGTATTGTTGTTGTGGTGGTTGACTTTCTGACTAGCATTAGAGTCGAATTCTTTGGGCGTTAGGTTGGTATCGCTGGCACTCTGTTAGGTCATACTACCGGTTTGGATCAACCAACTGAAAACCAATCAACCAAATCAATAATCAGACATTAGGTGAACAGCATAAGACTAACCGTAACGCTAATTATGTAGGTCAACTTTTGATAAAGAAGAAAGGCTGGTAGCTATTAACAAGTAGTGTATTTCATCCAACACTTATGCTGCACTTTTGATGAACTCAAACGAATATGATGTGAACATTGCAGTTGGACATGAAATATTACCGTGGTATAAATGATTCTCATGGAAAATGTAGGATTTTTAGGTAGGCTAACAAGATGTTCAAACGGTTTTGGTATATCTCAGTAATGCATCGAAGCCAAAGATCATTTTCACATGGTCTGAATAATCAAAATGTTTGAATATATTTCTCAAGTAAATTGCGAAATTGCAAAATATTCAATAAGCACATATATAATATATTATTTAGTGTATTTCAGTATAGCTCTGTTGAACTCTTAACACTTTAGACACATAAGTTTTGAAGTAATTAGGCAGCTTTATATCTAAGGTAACAAGAAGTCGAAGGAAAACGAAACTCACTGGTCAGCTATAGGCTCCATCTTCGTATCTGATATGGGTAAATATTCGATCTACAAAAGTAAAACCAAAGTGAATTTTATCTCAATTACACGACTAGAATGATAGCCAACATCAACATCCTATGAAACTCATTGCTAAGGAGGTGAACCAGTCAACCGATACAGTCAGTATTACAGTATGAGTTTTTAAGATGCTATACATAAACTTCAAAATGTATACTAACACTTAAAAAACTAGAATCCCCAGCTTTGTGTCAAATATCACGTCTGAATCCTGACATCAAAAGTCATACAGTTCATATACCTATCTTGAAAAGAGTAAATGAACTAGCATAAATCCCTGAGGGTATTCCTTTGACAGCATCAGAACAAGAAAGCATAACTGGCAATAAGTAGATATGGTCCTTCTGAAAGTATTCAATATTCTTCTTTTCCGGTCATAAGAAGCTGTTGTAGCCGCACGGTTTCGAGGACCAAAATGTTTTCAGAAACGAGCTTTTTTTGAATGGATTACAAAAAACTGATGCGTTAAAATGCTAGTCCCTTAAAAATCCATGAGTGATGGCCTTATACCATTACTGTTATTATTATTATTGTTATTATTTGTCCCTTGGGTTCCTAGTGGAACATAGGGATTCAGTAGCACGTCTCCATTCCACTCTCTTCTCTACAGTCTTTTGAACCTCACTACACGACTGCACACAAGCTCTCATTTCCTCCTCACATGACCTCCTCCATGTCACCCTCAGCTCAGACGCACAACTCATAGTTTCCCCTTTGCAGTCCACTCCACGACCTGGCCTGACGCGTGATGTCCCCGAATGGTCTTCTCACTGTATGCCCAATCCAGCTCCATCTCCATCTCCACTTCCTTCCAGTGAATATTTCTTGAGTGGAAGGTTCTTGCTTCGTTGGTTCGTTCCCAGACAAACTTGTTCCTTGTTGCTTATTCTGACTATTCTGACCATCTGACCTTCAGTAACGAGCCAGCTTATATGGCAGTTGTTGATGAATATCTGTAGTTTGTTAGAAGTGTTTTTGGTGACGCACCAAGTATCTCAACCATCATATAGCAGAACTGACTTGACTGACGTTGGTGTTCAAAATCTGGATCTGTTCTTCATGGTGAGTGCAGTAGATGTCCACACTGGTTTCAGGTTGACGAAGATCTATTTTGCTTTTCGGATGGTGGTTTTGACATCGTCATCTGTGCGTGTGCCACCAGTAGTTGAGACGATGCTGCCCAGCCAGGTAGGTGAGAGAGGGTATTTCCTTTAGGTTTCTCCCACTGATGGTGATTGGTGCTTGTTGTTGGTGCTGTTGTTGGTTGGGTATCTTCATCACCTCTATCTTCTCTATATTCACTTGAAGTCCCGTCTTCATTGCCCTGCCTCTTCTGTCAACTTGTTATTTTTCGCCTGTACATCTTTGTGTTTGCTTGACATTAGACACAAGTCATCGGCGAAATCCAAATCTTCCAGGATGTTTTCCCCGGTCCGGCATATCTCCCTGTTCTTGCTTCTCATGGGTTGTTGCATGATTCAGTCCAGAACAATCAGGAAGATGATCTGTGATAGTAGGCCTCAGCCTTGTCTTACTCCTGTCTTCACTTCAGCATGCAGTCTTTGTATCTGTAGCTTAAGTGACAGGCTAGGACACTGAATGACTTCATTATGACCATTGTAGATTCATTTACTACTTCCTGTGAAAGGCATTGAATGTTTCTACTTAAGTATTTAGCTGAACATTAGAGACTGAATCAACTTGGTAACAGTCACTTTGACGAGTATACCACTCAACACAAATTTTGTGTGTAGTAAATGTAAAGATGCCGTCTACTTTCAGTTGGTATAAGTTTTACAAACAATTTTCTGATATATACTGCACCTATGCTCTGACAGGAAAGACTCTACGGGAAAAATTGAATCTAATGAATAATCAGATCAAAAGATGATTAAGATGAGGTACTTCTCACAAGGTGATAAACGTAATAACCCTTAACTAGCTTCATCAGCCTATACTTTCTGTTTCTACTGCATTCCTTCAGTGATCGATAAGGACTAATGGTAATATACCAACTATCAGTAGTCACATTTCTATCTTACTGAATGCAAACAGAATTCTCTAAAGCTGCACTGTGAATAAAATTTTTATTAATTCAATCATGTATCTGTTAACCTACTTGAGAAGAATTTAGAAAACAATTCCAGCTGCTGTGTATATAGTTCTTTTCTAAGTGACCCATTTTCTCGTGATAGTGCATTTCCATTGGAGTATGTGGTTGACAACATGGAGATGCTTCACGTGATATATGAGAATTATTACCTTTTAAACAGAAAAGAAAATGTTACAGTGTAGACTTTCAGGAATCGAATTACATGGAAAAAAAGCAAAGCAGTAACAGCTTACCTAACTTCAATTGAATGATGAAGGAAACACCTCGACAAAACGGTAGCAAGATAAAGTTTTTCTAAAATGAGTGATGCATTAGTACAACATATTTCTAACAGCCTGGTCACACGCTTACTTGAAATGCATAGTTGTATTAAATATAACAAAGTACACTTGGGTTTCCAGACCAATGAGTAAATCTCACAGTCCTATAACCTAAAGATATGACAAAGAAATGGAGAACTCTGTACCATTGCCAGACATTCTCACAACTTACCGGTAACATGAGACAATTAAGCTATCCATTTATAAGAAATCTACATGGATATGAATATACCTGAATCACCAAAGTTTCTCTCTACTTCACCATAAATCGACATAAAGCGAGTGGCGGTTCGACAAGATTTCACGGATGTACGCAAATGACACTTCAGAGGACGACAGGCAAAAGCATATCATAGTAATCATAAAGCAAAAAACCTATTTCGAAGAGTCTCAGCGTTATCATCCTGAACCTGTACAACCCCATATTAATATTCTTTCCACATAATAACAGGAAAGGAATGTTTCATGAAATATTTTTGAACGAATTTCACATTTGATTACAAAACAGGACATTGAGAAAATAATTGTGTAATGTTTGGAATAGTAGTGAGAAGAAGACTTATTAAGACCGAAATAACATTTGATTAGTAAATCAGATGACGTAATGTGGTGGATGTAAAGAGAAATCAGAACTATGAGAGTGGAGGAATATAATATGTGAGAAGATTTGAATGAAAGTACTTTAGAAGGTAAAAATATTCCTATAGGTTACGTCCATTGCAGCTCTATTGACTGGACAAATTTCTTTTGAAAGTGAAGTCTAGGCTTCAAAACATTAATTGCCATGGCTTCTGCAGTTTGCAGAATTTTTAAGCATACACCTTTCACAAGATTTGCATGAACTCAACAGACGACACTGAAGTTGTTTTCTGCATTTACCAGGTAGTCATAATCGATTAAATGTTCTAAAGTATGGCTGTGAACGATGTCCTCCTTTCTCCGTTGTGAAACCAGGCTGGTATACGTTCAGAAATGCATTTGGAAGGCGAACATTGAGTACGGTCAATATACCTCACTCCACAGGAGAAGCATAGAAAATCTTTCACAATGAGCACGTCAAATGGTTTCTCTATATATCTGTTGATATGTCACCGTTGGACTCCAAGCTCATGTAAAGAGGCCTCTTAGGGGCTGTAGAAGTTGAATGATTATTTGCTTTTAGTCTCATGGTTTTAGTAATGTAACGGTCAGAATGATCAGATGGCCAGAAACGATAAGTAACAAGGAACTCTGGGAACGAACCAACCAAGAACCTATCACCCAATAAATATGCACTAGAAGAAAGTGTAAATGGATTGGGCATACACTAAGAAGGCCAATTAGGGACACCACGCGCCAGGTCAGGCCCTTGAGTGGAATCCAAATAGGGAACGACGAGTTGGGTGTCGAGGCTAGTGTGATATGGAGGAGATCATGTTAGGAAGAAATGAAAGTTTGTGGGCAGTTGTGGAATGAGGTTCAGAAGACTGCCGAGAACAGATTGCAATGGAGGCGTGCTACTGAAGCCCTATATTCCACTAGGAACCCAAGGGAAAATAATCATAATAACAATAACAATAAAACGGTCAGAATACTGGTTTTCAATCAAAACATTTAAAAAAAAATTAATTTCATCTTGCAAATTATTAGGACTGTAGATAGCATGAATCCTATGGCACATAGAATGATTTTGATTTCGTTTGGTGCATAGAAGCAGGAAACTGTGAGAATTTGTAAGATATCCATTTCACTCGGTTTTCTGTGGATAGACATTTCGAGTAATCCATTGTCTTGTCTTTCTAGCTACACATCTAAGAAGGATATCTTAGAGTGAAGTTTCTTCTCTAATGTGAACCTGATTGAAGGGTGGCTGTTATTCCACTGAGACAGGATATCTTCTAGATTATCCGTACTGTTGAAGATGACGAACGTATCACCTACGTATTGCTTGTAAAGTTTGAACCAGTTGATCATTCTGTTTAGGTGTGTGTTCTCTAGCTTTGATATGAAGTCTGCAAGCAAGGGGTCCAATGGTAAGTCCATCGTTACTCCATCTTCGTTTCTGTATATTTCGTTTATTGAAGGAAAGTTGGACGCTCAGGGTGCATTCGATCTCCTGATTTATAACCAAATCTGAACTTCGTTTGAAAAAAGATTTCATGAAATATTCCTTTTCTGTTACTATGTTAAAAGAGTATGTATATTCTATTGTACGGCCTGAGAATAATATTGTTGAGAAGAGTGACCCTTTGCTATGCATCTTCTGCTTTACGACTGAATGGGAAATTCTAAACTGCCGAAGGAAACTATAGGTAACAATTATCCTACAAAATAATTAGTCGTAGAAGATATGCCAAGAGAAAACTATCGTACAGGCATATTCACAGTAAGATGTTTATATCACGCTACCGTACATGGGGGGATTTTCATGATCGAAACATATGACAGCCATCTCTAAAAATTATTACACAGAAAAGATCAATATCATAATCAAGAAAACAAAACTGATATACTTCTGTGAAACCTAGTGGCATTTCTATATGAGAAAAACCTGGGCACTGTGGTCGATTGTAATTCCATTTCAGTCTGTTTATTAGAAATATCACACAATGAAACAGTAGCGTTTACTAGATAACGTTTCGGATACAATTTATTGTCTATATTCATATCAGGTAACTCCACAACTTAGAGACAAACTTTATATATTTCTAATTTTCTCTCCTTCTCTGTGATGACAAGGATAGTAGAATTTTCCATATATCTGGGACAAGTGCAGAATCATTTGCATGTATTTGGTGTTGATTCGATAAACACAGATTCGGTTATCAATCTCTCCCTCTAACCAACTAAGTTAGTTTTCAACACTGTCGCCCTATCGCACCCTACTGTGTGATTGTGTGTAATTGCCTGCAGTGCTATTGCCAGTAGCTAGTGGCATTTCAACAACTAAGTCACATGCAGTCACGTTTATCAGTTTACATATGCATGTGATCAAAGTACATGGTAAAGACACGTTGACCTATGCAAGTTCCAGCCATGGAACACTTTTAAACTGATATACCAACAAAGTAAATCGAGTGATCCTATTGACTGTGATCACAGTTAAGCATGTCATTGAAACCGGTCGCAAGCAAAATTTTTTTGCAGAAACTCTACTTATAAGGAAGTTCGGACCTCTTTTATGGGTTTAAAAACAATTTTTTGCCTTACTCAACGTGTTTTGAGTACTCCGCATGATGATAAAGGGTGTTTAGTGCGATGTCATTCCCATTTCCATAGGCCAATTAACTTTCATTTATATCGACTTATTTTTGGCATGTTCATTCTTGTTTACATTTCATAGAAATATGCTAGTCAGCAAAAGTGTCTCTCTAGATTGCGATAAGTTTGTTGCACGAATATACCAAAGACTTCAGATAAACTATGTCAACTGATTGTTTCGTCGAAGTTTGTGAAGAGCTACAAGTGCTCTGTTTTTGAAAATTCAATTTGTCGATTACGTTTCTTACTACTCAAACGTAGCTAAAAGTAGGTAAACGTGCATAGAATAATTTTATTGTCAAACATTCTCAATAGAAACAGCAACATCTCGTGGTATTTGGTAGGTCGATGAGTTAACTATCAGGAGATGATTAGGTTGGACCTCAGTGTAATCCAAGCCTTAACTCAAATGTTGTTTACTTTACGTGGATTTGTCAGTCGACAAAAATATGGTTCCGTTATATATCACGTGTCAAACAACTTCTAATCATCGAATAGCAAACACAGTCAAACGTGACATGTCTCACTCACCATGTTTCAGACAGCAGTCACTTCACAGACAGAATCTGGTATAAGATTTATTTGTCCATTGTTCTCGTCTACACAATCAGTTTGCATTCGAACACCTCAGGTGGAACAATGCTTACCGAAATATTTTAATTATTACTATCCCCTTGTCAGGTCCTTGTGGCTCACAATACCAGGATAAGAAAAAAGCTATTATTATCACGATCATATGGTATCCCTCCTCAATGTGTTGATACTGGTATTTAAATCCCTGTAAAAGATTTTTGATCTCCTATACTACGTATACTGAGGCGAATTTTATCAATCTGTTGACCAAATTTCCCCATACAATCTAGTATGTCACACTGGTCTAGATACAAGCAACACTAGTGAGTGAATTGGTTCGCTCATATTACAGTAAGGGTCGAACAATATGGCTGAATGTAATTCTAGATTAGATTTGTTTATTACATGTAGCAAGGGGAAATGTAGTTTCATATTTACTCGACTAGTCAACAAACTCCCACTGACTTTTACAAATGGAAACTGGTGAAAATTACTGTCACTGCAGGTTACATAAAGTAATCAAATCTTATGTAGATATGGTGAATTTTTTCTAGTTTGGATAAACATCTGACCAGCAAAAACCAGTCCCCATGATGATTATATTCAGCTTCTGTCACTGTCTGTATCAAGTTGTGCAACATCTAATATTTCAGACTTCAGAGGTAAGCACGAAAAACCACGCATACACACATAATGTTCTTAAAACATTAATTCAAACTCTAGTTATGTTGAATAACGCATAAATTGATTCATTGAAGCAGCGTAAACAACCGTCACTGACTGCCAGACTACCAGAATATATGAGAAGACAATCAACGATTTACACAACAAATTACCTCTTTTATTCTTCTTAGTGGTGTTATCTGCTGCCAATTGAATTCTAGATGAACTATCAATTTCATCTATCTTGTATAAGGAACTGCGAGATGCATGTCTTGGAGAATTTTGTCCTTGATCATATGAAACAGGTTTATTAAATGAATTCGTTTGTGGCCAGTCATCATTTTGACGTGAGGATGTATTCAGCGTTCCAAGGGCTCGTATTCCATCTTTAAAAGCAAAATAAGTTGTCCAACTAAATAGCTTATGCATAGGATAACAATATGAAACAGAAATTCTGGTGTATATAACTCTTATCATATCAGAAATGTATTCATATTTCGAGTATTTTCCTCCAATACTGCAATACTACCAGCCCACGGTAATAATAATTGGAAGTGTATAATGAATGGTGAGCACCACTACTTTAACAGTAACAAGAACAACAACAACTAGGGAATTTGACACAGTTTACGAAAGAAAAACAACATTTCGTAACTGTTCAGAAAAAAAACTGATAAAGTAGGAAAATACTGATATCAAAAGTATAATTCTACAGCATCTGCATGAAAGCTGCTGTCGGTGAGGATTGTGTAAGCAGCTGACGAGATACTCCAGGACATGATTTCTGCCAGAACTGTTTTTATCGCTTCGTCTAAATCTGTTATTATTATTTATTTGGTTGTGGTTAGTGGAGGAACCCAGGATGCACGTTTCGTTTTATTTGGGGCACGTCAGCTAGATGTACTTGCACCCCAGTGGGCGATGTTGTTCTCATTAAGACTCGAACCTCCTACCCATCGATTTCAAACACCGAAGGGTTTTATATTAGGCCACTGAGGCACGATAGCCACATCTTGTACAATGGGTATTAGTTATTACTAGTTGTTAATATGCCTGCAATTCACCGTTATTATACTGGGTCGAACTGTTCGACCTCAGTGGGAACAACATCACTTACTTGGATGCAGGTACGTCCAGCTGAAGAGTCCCAAATCGGACGGAACCCGTTTTTCGATTACCCTGCTAATCACAATTAAGTGAATTATCATGATGAACAAATTGGCAGTATCGAGACATCCTCGTACGAGCCCATATGTCAATGGAGGTCAAACAATTAGATCCAGTAAAGCAACAGAGAATTACAAGTATTAAAGGAATTTTTATTGATCTGTTTATTTCTTTATTTATTATTAGCACTGTGTGAGACATAGTCTACTCTGTAAAATAGATTTCCGCACGTTATAGCCACATTTCACCCACCGATAATTAAACGCATGAATAGATACTGTAAATTTCATCACAAGCCATCTAATATCGATTTTATTTCGCGTCACACAACCTACCAAACTGGGTCCATATACATCGATCAGTAATGTGTATTTAGCACTCAAAAGTGACATCCATGGAGATTTGGCTACTAACTGTCGAACAACCAAATAATTCGAATAACTATCAGATACACATACACATGTATATAAGAAATAATCACTTTTATAAATACTTCAATCATCCAGCTGATCATTACAAACACGGAATCGAAATTCTCTGACAACTCCAATTATTAGACGAACTTACAAACAAGTCTGTTATTTGGTACTGACAAAACCTGTGATATTTAACCGTAAAGATATTACTAGGTAACTTATGAACTTCCCACTTCATTCACTACCAATACTACAGTGTATTGTCAAAAATGTGATGACTACTGAATTATATACAATCGTGAATCATATATCATTACACTTCAGCTTGATGGGTATGACTTCACAGAATGAACCAAGCATACTTAGATACTTCAAAATCGTTTATACAAGGTGTGAACAATGCTTGAGCACAATGGCATAATATTACAGTACATGCAGCAATTGTTCAGTGAGCTTCTTTTAAAAGCAAACAAATGATCTGCTTGTATTGGTAGATAACTACGCCGAAATCAGTATATCAGATTTCAGCATCCAGTGTTAAGATCCTTAACTTTATTTGGTTGATGTAGCTGAGGGGATGGATATTTCATCAAACATCCATGCTTTCTGAACTCTTCAGGGTCACAACGCATCTATCCTACCTTCCGTATCATTTACCAGGAAATTTGTTCTGTCTCGATCAAATTCTCGGAACCTACATTTATGCTTTCTTATCTGGAAATGCAGTTCTCGGTTCTTTCTCTACTCAAAAATTAGTCAGTGGCATTCTGAACACAAAGATTCAGACGATGAGGTCTCTGATATAGTGGAGAATATTTGTAGCTCAAGTGAATAGTCTTCGTTGCATTACGTTCTCCTAGATGGCTTGTTTAATCGTGGAGCTGTCATCCTCTTCCTTGACAACATCATCAACACTAAATTCTCTATGAAGTGAACTGTCAACATCTCTCCGTCAGTGATTTAACTGCTTCCCCTGACCAACTACTTTGTGATTACTTGCTTCCTTGGATTGTTGTCTCATTCACTGACTGCATAGATTCTCCTGTTGACTGTTCCTCTACTTCAATTCTCACCTTTCTCTCATTTGTCATTTTTGTTTTTCATTTTGGTTGATAGATCCGGTCTATGTCTACACATTTGTTGATTGTTGACTGACTTATCTGAATGTCAAGCTTCTAGGAATTCTCTGATATTCTCTGTGTTTCCTCTCTCCCTCCAAGATTTCCACATTGTTAAAATTGAATTCATGTCGATTATGAAGACCAATGGATGCAACAACCAAAGAAGACAAACCAAATATCATTTACAAATTCGACTGCAATAACTGTAGTCAACACTACATTGGACAAAGTGATCGCCCTCTTCACTTTCATCGTCTACATGAACACCAATTGGCTATTGAACGTCACCACATCTCATCACTCATTTCAATGCACATGGATAATTGTGGACAAGAATTCAGTTTTGACAATGTGGAAATCTTGGAGGGATGGAGGAAACACAAAGAATATCAGAGGATTCCTGGAAGCTTGACATTCAGATAAGTCAGTCAACAATCAACAAATGTGTAGACATAGACCCAATCTACCAACCAAAGTGAAAAACAAAAGTGACACATGAGAGAAAGGTGAGAATTCAAGTAGAGGAACAGTCAACAGGAGAATCTATGCAGTCAGTCAATGAGACAACAATCCAAGGAAGCAAGTAATCACAAAGTAGTTGGTCAGGTGAAGCAGTTAAATCACTGACGGAGAGATGTTGACAATTCACTTCATAGAGAATTTAATGTTGATGATGTTGTCAAGGAAGAGGATGACAGCTCCACGATTAAACAAGCCAGCCCATAGAACACAATACAACCAAGACTGAGGTCTCTACATGCCAGGTCCTACTAAAAGTTTGGCAATATATCTTCAAGGTAGTAAGGTGTCAAAAAATTACTGATGCTACAGTTGATTTTAATTAGTCAGTAACATTTACACAGTTGTTTAGCAACATGAGTGATTAACGATTCAGTTGTTTTCATTGCCATTATTATTACAATGCAGCAAAACAAAATCAGCAAGTAATAAGACATAGGTAAAGCAATTGTTGTCAATAAATAATGAAGGTAAACGAAGGAAAGAAAAACAAAACTTTGAAACGTGTCATATGAAAGATAACATTATTTACGCTAGTAAACATAAGCAGATGAGAGTATAAACAGAGAGATAATTCTTCAAAATTTTACTCAACCTTCTAGTATCAACTTGTTTACGTTCTCCTTGTTTATCTCTCTTTCACCTTCATTTCTCAATACACTCTCAAACATGAACAATAAGCTAATAGTCAGAGAAAATGATGATGCCGTAATCTATTGGGATTTCACGTGATCATGTCTAAATCAATATACATGCAACTATGACAACACAGTAGTATAAACACTGAATCAATAACATATACAGCTATTCAGTCACTAACTAATGAAAATTCATTGCTGTGTTGTTCTTAGTGGTTATTTACTTCATTGAATTTCTAGTTATTTCAATATATTACTTGATTAAGTAAATAATTTATCACTACCATACCTAGCTTATTTACTGTTTCATCCAAAGGTGATGGTTACAGCCAGAAAAGCACCTAAGTCATAGCAAGAATAAAACGAGAAACCTAATGAATGACAGTTTGGAGGATATCTCGTGAAGTCATCGCAGACAGCGCAACCTTATTTAAATACACTGACAATGAAAATTCAGAAAAGACAGTTCAGTGAAGATCATTTTCTTTTCAATAAATCATTTTCAAAAGCTATACATCATAATCATAGCTACAATATATATGGGTCAGAAGAAGGTCATCAAAAACAGTTAATAAAGTCACAAAGTGGTAACGACCAGAAGGTCAAATCAAGGTCATCGAAAATTGTATATGGGATTGTCATAAATAAACACAGAAATGAATCAACTTTCTTAGGGAGATTATAGACCAAGGCAAAATTAAAGATTGAATGTATCTCTTTTGAACGCAAACAATGGGCTTGTAACACTGGATTGCTAGAGCTTCTACTGGGTTGAGATGGTGAATACCCAATCACTTCAAAATGTTTGCCTTCACTTTATAAATGACTTTGAAAGAAGACTTTCGTGGAGGGCAGTGACTAGAGATAACCAAGTTCTTAAGAATCGAGCTGTTGGCGGATTAACAATGTCCTTTATACAGCCATGTAGGATACTGCTTGGAGATGCATTTGGATAGAATGCACTTTGTGCAGCCTATGTAACCAGCTCTACAAGAACAGGTGAACTAGTAAACTCATATGGAGGTAGACCTTTATATACCCTCGAATCCGTTGTTGACTGGAGAAAACAATTCAAAACTGAGCGGAAAAGGTCTCATTCAGTGGTTTGCACAATCGATTCTTCAGTATCTCTGTCAATTCAGTACTCACAGACAATGTCTTCTTTGAAACTGTAAGGGTTTCTTCTTTGAAGTTTCTAGGCTTCATGTTCCTCTCAATGAATCTTGAAGGAAGACCATTCTCGATTAACATTATTCGAAATATCTCCAGCTCCTAATTTGTCGCATCATCCGTTCAAATTTTTCTAATTCATGTGCATAGTGAATGATTTGACTAGGGGACCTCAGCTTTGAAAATGAGTATATTAACCATTCCAGGTGCTTTTTCTGTAAATCGATCTCCTTAGGGGGTCATCATGTCTTCTTCTCGATAGAACTTCTAGGAAGTGAAATTCTGAATTATCTTCAGTTTCCATGGTAAATTTAATTGACTAGTGACATTCAAGGTTACTGTCCTTCTCACAAATGATGGTGTCATCCATGTATCTCCCTTGAAGATGGAACTGGTTG